TAAGCGTCCAAAAAAAGGTTTCAGCTCAGGTCATGGTCTCAGGGTCATGAGATTGAGCTCTGCATCAGGCTCTATGCTCAGCAGGGAGTCTGCTTGAGGATTCTCTCCCCCTCTCCCTCTGCCCCTCAAAAAAATCATGTGCTTTCTCTCTCTCTCTCAAATAAATAATTTAAAAAAAATGTTTCAAAAAAAATATATAGATGGAATCATATATATTATGTATTCTTTTAGGGCTTTTTTACTCAAAAAAAATCTCTTGAGATTCATGCAAGTTCTTGTACCAATAATGTATTCCCTTTTTCTGAGTATTATACCACAGTTGGTTAAACCATTCACCCACTGAAGGACATCTAAGTGGTTTCTAAAAAAATTGCTATTACTATTAAAACTGTTAGGAACATTTGTGTGCAGGTTTGTTTTTTAAAAAAATATCACCCTATGCTAGTGATTCTAAGCCAGACCATTCCCACTGACCTGCTCCCGGCCTAATACACCACTCTGGTACTGGAGTTTGGTCTGTCTTCCGGGGATTGAAGGATGGCAGACAGGGGAGAGGGTAAGCTGTGGTGATCGTTCTGCCACCAATCTTTGACGAGACTTTTGCTTCTCTCTCTGCTCCCTTTTCCTCCTGTTGACTAATGCTCCTTATTTTCTGATCAAAAAAAGGAACTACTTTGCTTGACTTAATGTACCCCAGCCATCTCGTGGATTAAGAATCAGTCTATGGATAAGCCATCACTGGGTCAGGTGTTCATGCCAATGCAATACATAGCCATAAAAAAATAAAGAACATCCCCTTTCCCAAATTCTGAGGCAGGGTTATTTCAGCTGTGGGAAAAAAACCTCCTCATATGTGATTTCTGCTAACAGGAGGCATTGAATGGGCCATGACTACCAGGTCTGGTATGCATGGAAGAGTCTCGAGAATCTTCACCACAAAAAAAGCCAAAAATAAAAAAAACACAAAATGTTGACTTTTACAATAACATTCTTTAAAATAAGGTGGTAAAATAAAAAAAAGTAAGATAGGAAATGATCTGTCGACTAGTGAAAAGTTAGGTGATGTATTTCAAAAAAAGAATACTTTAGTTCTGGAAAAGTTGATTTATAGCCCTTCTTTCTTTTTGTAAAAAAAAAACAGGTTGGGCTTACTGATAAGGTCCCTCTGAGTCCAAGATAATAAAAACATAAAAAAATGCTTTGTGTCCCTTTGTGTGTAATTGAGAACAATAAAGGGAAAAAAAAGTTCTCAGATCCATTAAGATCTAATTTTTGAGGTGGCCAGGAAATACCTTTTCCTTTAACGCAAAAAAAGGTAAACTCAGCGAGCCTGCCACCCGTTTTTGTAGTTTCCCTGGGACACGGTCACACCCATCCACTTACTCATTGTCTGTGGCTGCTTTGATTCTTCAACCGGCATACCTGAAAAAAAGCAAAGGCCTGCAAAGGCTCACATATTTACTAGATGACCCTTTACAGAAAAAAAAAAAACTTTAATTTATTAAGAAACCATTATTCTAACCCGGATCATTTTGGGTGCTATAAAAAAAGAGCATTAACTATGAAAGGCTATGTTCGCTCATGCAGCTTAACTCAAATTCCTGGCCTACAAAATGAAAGGTCAGTACATGCCAAAATCTAATAATTTTCATGCAGATTTCCTCTGTAAGGTATTAGAGGGGATGAAAATGAGTTGACAGAACTTTCATTACTGGCTCGTGTAAAACTCTGCCCTGAGAAACCCAGACTGAAATATCTCGTTAAAGGCTGGTGTTCATAAAAAAAAAAAAAAAAGTACCTAAAAAGATGAAGCATTCAGTAAAATAAAAAGGTATGTAAAAAAAAATGAAGAAAGTCAAATATACATTACTTGATAAGCCTAGGCATCAAATTCCCTGGCCTGGTGAGGCAGAGCTGCAAAGAAACTTCCCCATATAGTTTATACCTTTAAAGGATAAAAAAACGGGGGGGAGTTGGCCACGTTTCGTGTCCTGTAGGGAAGATACGTATCATGCAAAAAAAACTACAAGTGTCTATTCAAAGTCCCAGCATCGTCCCTGAGATCCTTAGAAACCGTTTTGGAAAGAGACACTTTTCATGACGCAGTGCGGGTCACTTCTAAGTAGTCCTGGATTGTCCATATATTCTACATAGCCAAGGATGACATAGAGGGACGTTAGGTGGAACCTCAGTGAGAATTACAGGGTTTGCAACTAAACCTGGTGGACTAGAATCATCTGAACCATTTAATGTCTATGGATGATGGCCATCTAAATCTTGCAAGAGCTGAGTGTTTAAGATCCTTTTATAAAAAAAATCATAAATACACAAAAGTCAATTTTACTCAATCTTTCTAGCCACAAATGTAGAAAAAAATTCTGGATTTTATTTTATTTTATTTTTTTTAAAGATTTTATTTATTTATTTGAAAAAAAGAGAATGAGAGATAGAGAGCACGAGAGGGAAGAGGGTCAGAGGGAGAAGCAGAAAAAAAGCCGAGCAGGGAGCCCGATGCGGGACTCGATCCCGGGACTCCAGGATCATGACCTGAGCCGAAGGCAGTCGCTTAACCAACTGAGCCACCCAGGCGCCCCCACCTTCTGGATTTTAAAACAAATTCCCCTTGGGTAGATTCTAACACATGGGGTGCAGTTTTCAATCCATCTCTCAAACTTTGCTTTGGTGTCCGCTTTATGAAAGAACTTCCTTTGTCAGAGTTTTCTCCCACTTTTAAGAGACTTATCAGGAACAGACAAGGGTTTGTTTTTTTTTTTACTCAAACTTTGAAAATAAAATCTGCAGTATCGTAAGATTACTTCAAAAATGTGATGATGACTGTAGAAAAAAAAATGCTTTCAGTGACTCATAATTAGATAACAACCAGCTTGGGGAGAAGAGCAAAAAAGTACTTTTTACTAGAGAAGATGTAATGAGCTGTTGCTATCAATTTAAGGCAGCACACTAGCACTTCACAAACCTAAAATTGCAGCTTTACAAAAATCTGAGGTAGTACTTACATTTGAATACATTAATTTTACATACTTAAAGTCTTTAATTAAAAAAAAACAAAACAGCAAAAAAAAAATTGAAAGTTGACAAACAGGACACAATTCCTTGCCAAAACTAGTCATTAAAAAAAAAAAAATAGTTACAGAATGTATTTTACATTGACTTTTTAAAAGGGAAATTTTGTGTAAAAAAAACAGAGTAAAAGGCATAAAATAGAAGCTGTTAATTATGTTGTAATGTTGAATACTGGGTTTGGGTTGCTATTTTAATGGTATTTATTCTGTATGCTGTTATCTATGTCGTCAAAAAAACCTTCCCCTTATTCCTTTTTTTTTTATTAACTAAAATCCATAGTTTATTAGAAAAAAAATTCTTTTTTTTTATTTGTTCCCCTTATTCCTTTAGAATTTTTTGGAGTAAGCACAATGCCATTTCTTTAACTATTCAATGATCGCGCAAGAAGTGAAAGCACAGCGCAGGAAAAAAAACTTTATTGTATTTTAAATAAAAACAGAGCAGATAGCAAGTTCACGAGATATATTGGACTATTATTCCTTTAAAATCAGGCTTCAATAACAATAATCGAAAGCAAGCCTTAACCGAACAGATATTTTGGTCACTAATATAATCTTCAAGGGCACAAAAGCCAGCAGCGCAACGTAAAAGAAAGGTAACGGCTGTGAGAATTTTTGACGTGCCAAACGTGTAGATCACCCACATGAAACTCTATCCTTGTACTTTCTTAATATTCTTCTTAGACATCGAACAATTATTCAAAAAAAAATCAAACACGCACGTAGTATTCCTACAAGAATACTATCACTATCTTCATATTAAAAAAACTAATACTAAGCCTGCCTTTCCCCTCAAAATGCAATGAATCGTGGTTCCCCTCCCTATGTATATTAGTGTTAGTGGTAATATGCAAAATTAACTTTGTTTTCCAGGCTAAATAACCAGATTGCCTTCGCGTTTGGCGACCAGCTGTGTACCCCAATTTTTCATCTTTTATAAAAAAAATATATTTAACTACATTTCATAAGCCCTGAGATATTCATTAACCTGCTAATGAAAAAAAACTTTTAATTTATACTTGACTCCACTCAATTTGAACCCCATGAGATAAGTATAAAAAAAATTTACAGATGGTTGTAACTAAAGCGATGACAAAATTGACTATCTGTATAGTCACACTGCTAGTAAGGCCTTTAACTTAAGAGTTGCATATTGTATGCATTTTTTTACTCGCTAGGAGCAATGCTTAAAATGACATCGATAAGTCTCTGTCAGCAATAAGTGCTTTTCATTTTGCTTATTTCTACATGGATAACCAGATTCATTTTCTTCTTGTAAAACAATTCTTTTATTTCTTCCCCAGGCATGTTAGCTGTCCAACTGAACAGGTGCCAAAAGTAACTTAGCATTTGCACAGTACATTGATAGTTGTAATGCTAGGAGAGAAATATGCATATAATGGGGATTCCATAAATGTTGGCTCTACGTGAAATGAGCCAGGTGTGAGTCAGCTGTCAGTGTCATGTACAAAAAAACACACACTGTCCCGAATTTTGTTCAACTAGGGAATTCAGGTTACCAGATTTATTTGGCTCTCAAATGTAAATCCAAGAATTTTAAATTTAAAAAACTGTTTGGACAATTCTAAAAAAAAGTAAACAAGTCAATGATGGTTGCTACCGTAGTAATAGTTGGTAGGGAAAAAAAAAAAAAGAATTATTTTCTACTAAATGATATGTACAACTAAGTGAGGAGAAGAGATGAAAAAAAAAGAAGTGTTAGCTAGTTATTATTTTCTCCACATTTATCTTTGCATCTTTTTTTTTGGTCATATATTTATCCCTGTTAACTTCTCTGGATGAAAGAGAATTTTATTATCTGGAAAAAAATCCCCATCTTCTTAGGTACATGTTAGTGAAAAGCCAGTGTAAATATAAGATTAAAAAAACATGTCATGCTGTTATTTGTTTTTGTTTTTTGCCAACAATAAATTTTTCCTAAAAAAAAGATGCTGGAGAGAATACGAGATAATCTGCCAACTCACTATGAGATTGCTTGCTTATAATGTTCAGTTTTCATTGGTAGCTTTTGAAGCATATTGCACACTTGTCATCTAACAAAAAAATAAGTAACTACTACTCTTTTTAGAAAGGATACACTGACAAATTCTTAAGTTAAAAAAAATGGCCAAACATTTTTAGTCTGTCACAGGACAATAGCAATGGCGAAAACATTGAAAAAAAAGTTCATGGTTCGGTTCTCCCATCTTACGGTACAGGTGCCTGAAACACACACAAAAAAAGGACTTTGAAATATCAGCAACATATCAGAATTGCCAGGG